CCTTCATTTTTATACCAAAAGTAGAGTATGGCGAGCTGCGTCGAACGGCGCAAGGACGACGGTTCTAGCTTATACACTTTTTGAAGAAAGCTCAAATTACTGTGTCAAAATTGTCACAGCGTCACGCTTGGACAAGCCGTACAAATGTTTCTCTATTGACGTTCCTATTCTATAATTGTTAGCACATAAGATGGATTTATATAGCTGTATTTTCTTCAATCTTTGTTGATACGTACATTGTAAATGTAACATCAGCGTAATCCTCTTACAGTGTGTATATTTTCTTTGATAATGAGTCGGTGACTAGGTATGCACCAGTTTCAGTTAAAACTGCAGAACAGTTAAAAGCTGTTTTAGTTAGAACTGGTAAAGACTGTTACAGTTAAAAATTCTTGAGAGAAGCAACCACAGTTCGAACATTTGGAGTGCGTATAAGTGTCGAGAGATATCGTTTACAGTGAGTATGTGATTTTCGTCTTTAGAGAATATTGAAGAGATTGAAATATTGTTTTTAAATCTTAAGATATGAAAACAATATTTCAATCTCTTCAATATTCTTTAAAGGCATAAATTTTAAATTTTAAATAAATAGTTAATTTGTGCTGTATAATAAATAAAACTCTCTTCATCAATAGGTTTTGAAATTGAAATATTTACAAGTTTTTAATTAAGTATTTACTTTCTGCAGCATTCACAACAGGAAAGAGAACACGTGAGACAACGTTCTCTTTTTTCTTTCTCATTCCAGTACGTCAAGTGTATGGCGATGCTTGCATCTGCATACCTTGTGCGAGAAGAGACACCCCCTGTTTTTGCTCGATGCTTAATGTTATTTTCCGTCCTGACAGATATACTTCGAGTACTATTGGAGAATTAGCAAATAAGGGGATATCTCTTTTCGCACATGCATATCTTTCTGTTCTCTTTCTTTTTTATCGGCGCAATGAGACGAAAAAATGTCCGCACATGAGACATGCAATGTAAAAAGAGATGTCGTCTTATTTGCTGGATTTCTATTGTATTGGATAGTATATGGTAGATAGTATATGAGCTGTAGAAATTTGATACACTGATGACCTAATAAAAACGTTGGACTATCCTAGCATTTTATAAAAGCAAGAATCATATGATGTACTAGGTGAATAAAGGCTTTTCACCAGTATATTTAGCTCGATGCAACACCATTGTGTGTATTATGTAATAAGTACAGATGCTGTATTTGTACTTTTTCAGTGTGAAAAAATCGACTGTCGTGTTTTCTATTTGCGTTTTTCATCTGTTCTAGAAGAAAATTAGAATTCCAATATCGATAACATTTAGATCTATATACAGACAAAGTATTATAAATGAAAAAATGGGAAATTGATTTTCTTGGTTATTTAGGCGGTGCATTATTAGCAATATGTTTATTGCCACAGTTATATCGTACATATAAAACACGTTCTGCAGAAGATTTTAGTTATATATGGAATTTATTATATATGGCTGGAATGATAATAACAATGATATATTTAATCGAAGTTAAAGCTCTTGCTGGTTGGATTTCTTTAGTATGTGAATTTGCAATGGCTTTGGCATTATTTATAATGAAAGCATATTTGCAGTTTCATACAAAAAAAAGTGAGAAACAAAATATACCTTCCGTTTCAGTTATATCGGATGGCGATATTAAACTTGTCAAAGTTATACCTAATCACCCACTAAAAAACGAAACATTTAAATTATACAAAGAAACTGAAATTATACTTTAGTAAAAGTAAATAATATCTTACTATTGTTCTATTTGTATTATACATCCCTGTATTCTACCACTTTTGTAATCATTCATATTATAATAAATATAGCAGTTGTTACCCACGCCTGACAGCCAAAATCAATTGCTATTTAAAATTTTTTCTTTTTTCTGCTCTTTATCGTCTTTATTTTTCGTGTCCTTTCTGTTAACAAGTCAGACAGTAGAAGAAGATGCCCTATGACGAAAATGCATTTTTCCGCTGCGAGAGTGAAATGGCTATAACTTTTTTTCTAACAAGGCTAGAGACCTGCGGCTTTCACCATTCTGTTTAGCTTGCTGAGCTCTATAATATAAGCTAGGTCTCGTCACTGACGTGCGTGGTCAATGTAAATGGTAGTACATTTTATATGGATTGAGCTATCCATCAATGCCGAAAACATCACTCTCCAGTAGTAATATCCGAAAAGTGAGTGTTCGCAATTTCAACTAAAAAGGAATTATTAGCCGTTTTGTGGAGTTTTGAAGAGCTTTGTTTTGGTGTATAACGTAGACCGCGATCTAGGTTCTTCCATGGTGAAAAAATGGAAACACTATCACGGACTATGCTGAAAACGTCATCTTTAACAGTAATATTCCAAAAACGCGGGTGTTCGCAGTGTACATAACAATTAAGCAATAGATATTTTTGGTCGCCGTTTAAAGCTGCATCGAATGGTATAGCAAACTTTCCTTCAAACTTGTTTCATTCTGAGAAAAGTACAAAAAACACATCGCAATGGGTTCGTGAAGCTGTTGGTCAAAGCTAATCGACTTTCTCATAGATTTCCGAAGGAACATTGGGAGTCTGAAACGCCATAAAATCGCATGTTCTTTCACTCTAGACAGCCTTGTATCCACTTTTATCCGTGTGGATTGAGATGTGTGGACAAAGTGTCTAAAGACGAATTGACGAATCGCAATTTTTAAGCGTAAAAATGACGCAACAATTCGCGTTTTACGCTTATTTTGAGAATTCGCCGCGAATTGATGCGAAATGTATCGCATTCGTATGGATATCCTTAAAAACTTTTACGAATTCATCTTGCGAATTCGTAAACATGATCAAACACGATGCTTATCAATTCGCAAATAATTCGTAAAATTAGTTTACGAACTAGTGTTCACTGCTTTTAGAACTAGATTAATTCGTAACTACGAATTAGCGAATTCGTATTAGGAGCTGATCTAGCGGTTGAAATACTTCTAACATCAATTCGCCGTTATTTTTACGAATTCGTAGAATGCGAATTGATATCAAGGACAAGACACATTTCTATGAGGTTAAAAATAGATAGAATCGTCTCTTCGCATCGGCTGGCATAGTTCTCAACTGAATTTGCCACTATTTTTACGAATACGTAAAAAACTGACTGAAATCCCGCCCCCCATCTGCATATACACACGAGAAGGAGAGAGATTCGTCTCTATTTTCTTTCGCGAAAACCTATTGACGAATTGGTGAAAGAATTGATCCGAAGAGACGATTCTTTGTTTTCTTAACTTCATAGAAAAATTCCTTGTCCTTGATATCAATTAGTATTCTACGAATTCGTAAAAATAACGACGAATTGATATGAGAAGTATGCGAACCGATGCGAAGAGACGAAACTATCTATTTTTAACCTCATAGAAATGCTTCTTGCCATTGACATCACTTCTTATTCTACGAATTCGTGAAAATAACGGCGAATTGAGGTGAGAAGTGTGCGAATTTACGAATTCGTAAGGTTAAGGAAATTCAAAATTCAAGTAAGTTTTTTACTTATAGATTTCTTTACAGATTCTGATAGAGCTCAACGCGCTGATTCTGAATATGTATAATTCATTGAGAAAAGGTTGATTTTTCATTTCAAAAACAGTGAAATACTAAAAAGCTTTGAAATCGTAAAAAATACACGTGTTTCGAAAAACCGTTTATGGTCTTTGAACCATAAGTCTTTCTGATTTTGTTTATTTTTATTCGTTATCTACGTGGAAAACTGCTTTAGAAAATGTGCTTGCCGACTATAGAACATGAGTTTTTAAGCACCATGAGTTCAAGCTAGATCAACGTTCGGAAAACCGACATGTTCTGCCCTTCGAAGATCTGGTTTTCTAGAAACTCTAAAACACAACCCGAACCCTTCTTAATGAAGCGTGATTGTATCCCGCAC